GCCGAAGATACTCTACGAAGGATTAGCGCTTTCGAGGATCAACATAGGCAATCGGAAACGATGAAGAAAGTGGAAGGAACTGGGGAAGTGGAACGGCAGAATTGGGAGGAGACACTTGTACGGCTGGAGGAGAGCGTGAAGCGGGGCAACGATTTAGAGGCTCGGAACGCGCGTCTACTAGAAGAACGCCAGGCTGGAGTGGAGGCGATAGAGGGGCTACGTGGTCTTAACGTGAAGGCAAACACCTCAGTAGGAGCGGCGCTTGTCGAATTGGAGAACGAGCGAAGGGATCGCGAAGAGGCAGAGAGACAACTTCGGGAGAGTACGAGGCGGAGCGAGGATTTGGTGGAGCGAAACAGGAGTATCACAGAAGAGCTTCAAGCGGTAGAGGAGGCGCAGCAGAATCAGGAAGGGATACAGAGACGATTGGAGGAGAGCACCAAGCGGGGTGATGAATTGGAAGGACGAAATAGACGTCTGGTGGGAGAACTTGAGGTAGTCGAGGAAGAGCTGAAAGGACTCCGAGGCCTCAACGCCAAAGTAAACGAAACTCTGGAATTGGCGCTTGCGAACCTGGAGACTGCGCAGCAGGATCGGAATGAGGCACATAGAGAAACAGATGAGATGGCGAAGCGGAACGCTGATTTGGAGCAACGAAACCTGGGGCTGCTGGTCGGCTGTGAGGCAGGAGAAGAAGAGATGAAAGGGCTTCGAAGGCTCATCAGGAAGACGCAGAATATGTTGGATATGGCGCTCGCGGATCTCGACACCGCGCAGCATGATCGGGACGAGGCGAATAGACAATTGGACGTGAGCGCGAAACGCGGAGATGAGTTGGAGGACCGAAACAGGCGCCTTCTAGGCGATTTCCAGGTAGGAGAGGATAGGATGAAAGGGCTTCGTACTCTCAACGGCAAGGCCCAAAATGCCTTGGATGTGGCCCTCGCAGAATTGAAGAAGGCGGAACGGGATAAGGAAGGGGTCCTCGAGCAGCTTGACGAGATCCTGAAGGAAAGGGAGCACTGGGAGGAGCGAAATCGACGTCTTCTGGAAGAATGCAAGGCGGAGGAGGAAAAGGCAGAGGACCTTCGCAGGCTCCATGTCAAAACAGCTAGCGCGTTGGAGACTGCACTAGGAGAATTGAAGGCCGCCTCGCACCAGAAGGTGGAACTTTCGAACATAGTCGCCCGGCAAGCACAGGAGTTGACCAAGAAGGACAAGGAGCTGGAGAAGCTTACGCGGTCGCAACCACAGATCGTGAAGTGGCCAAACCAACGACAACTTCACACCCTGGAACGTCACAATAGAATGCTTGTTGATCAGCTCCGACGCCAATCGGAACAACTTCGTCAGAAGACACTCTCCGGACAGAGTTCAGCACCCCAAACGCCAAGGCCATCGTCGAAAGGCGAAATTTTGGGAGGAATCGAGGGCATGGTTGAAAGGCTTAATTCAGAGGTTTATCAGGCAGCCGCACATATCGCAGACTCCCTAGACTTTACGAGCCTGATAGATCTGGATACGCAGGAAATCGAAGGGGTGGCCGAGCGAGCTACGGTAATGATAGGAAAGCCATTGGCGCTGGTCATGGAGGCGATCTCGACCCGGGACGCTGTGGAATTCAATTATCTCCCGGTGCAAATTGCGTTGCAGGCATGTCTTGTCAGCTGCTGCGCGAAGATCATTACGTCTTGGTGCCCGGGACATTGGGAATATGGGGATTTCTTGGCCACAATCTACACGAGGATCGTCGGTATAGGTAAGCGATCAGCCAACGAGAAGGAAGCAAAGTTTCACATGGCTTTCACATGGCTAACTTCTGTCACATAGCTCCTCCAGATATTGCAGCGTCATGGCGAACACTTACTGAACGCCAGCTGAAAAAACCGTCAGACAATAATCTCCAGACGGAAATGGAGGAATATCTCCTCCGGAACGTTATCGATACGCTGGTCATCTCGGGATGGCGCAAGACCCAGTCGGAGGCGCGAGATTCACTTGCGAAGTTCCACGATAGGATTAGACAAATCGCCAAATTAGCACTTCGGTTGAATCTTGCCATCGGGGACAATTGGCAAGTTATCGTTATCCATCCCAACGAGTCTTTCGATGCGAACAAAATGGAGGATGCATACGAAGGAGAGATCAACCGACGAGGAAATCGAGTGGTCTGTACAACCGACCTAGGCTTGGGAACAGGTGGAAGTATCGTCTCGAAACCGAAGGTGGTCGTTCGAGCGATGCTGACAGAAGTGATTGGATATGATTCATTCTGACCTCTTAAATAGACTGTGTACGACGCTAGCCGTCTTACCCACATATTACGATTTATGGCTAGATTGTACCCGGTCATGGGTGGCCTGGCGGACGGCAGTGACCAGATGATCAGGAACCTCGCACGACGAACATCGTACTCAGGAGATTCTCTCTAAAAGTGTTACTCTATTTACTTGGCACTCAGTGCAGTGACAACCAAGGGCAACTGATGTGTCTCACCCTTCCTGCCGTGATAAATGCAGGAGATGATATGCTAGCTGTCTCCCAGAAAATACCATCGTCCCTTCGCAGAAATATTAGATTCGAATCGACGAGCAGACCAGGGACGGAGTTTCTGGGTGTAGGAACGCGTAGAGCGTTCGCCCTGTTCGTTAACACTTATTTCGTGGACTCGCAATCTGCGCAGCGTGCCCTGCACCCCAGGTACCACATGGTATGTCCCAAGCTGCGTCAGAAGGGAGTCAATCTCGTCGCGAATCGTGAACCATTCCAAACTAGGGTTCCGCTTTGCGATTCGCAAAGCACCATTGCCCATATGGTCATTGGAGAATGCCTGCTCCTCGTGCTCTGGGCGATAGGCTGTGCACATACGAGTGATAATGAAAGAGCGTAACTTCACAGTGAAACGAAGGGAAATAGAGAAGTCCTTCTGAACACGTGAAAATGATTCAACATCAGTGGCTCCTTCGATGGGAGATGCACTGCTTACAAGAGATATTGGGATGTCTGAGGTCACTTCTATGTGTGTAAGCTGAGAACAGACAGCGACAAGGCCTTCGTAAAACCTGAAACAGTCTCCCCTGCTCCTGACAAGCAATTGGGAGCTAATCTTGACACCCACCGCTGCGACGGTTGGATAAGCCCCGAGTAGTGACTGAAGCGACTCGATGATGACTGGCGACGGAGTATACCATGTGGCCAAATCAATGCACTCCAAAGCCGGAAGCTCAGAGGTCGACGACTGCAATCGTTCCGCTTGACCGATGAATGTGCGGAGGCGCGACAGGGGCGGTAATTGCGAAACTGTCCGTGAAAATATATCTGGCACTCTCACACTTTCAAGCGTAGGGTGTGCTGAAAGAAATGATGCCAAATCGACTTCATCATCCGAGAGCGGCCACCCCGGCAGAGAAGTCAAAGTTATTGACTTCAGATAACGCCATCTCGCCGAAAAGACCCTCTGTATGTTCCAGATACGGTATAGCCAGCCAGTGGAAAGAAAGGAGAGATGAAGCAAATCGGGGCTATTGCATGAGAGCATCTGCCAAAGGCCTTCCGGTAGATCTATGACACCAGGAGAAATTTCTAAAGAAGATATAAATTCCACTGAGCGTCGAAGAGTCAAACGACATACTCAAACCCGAAGGTGTTATATCCAAAGAAAACGAGGTCAGATTGCGGAACTCGAACAACTGGATCTTATCCTCAATATCTGAACATGGCCGCTGGAGTAGCATGAAATCATTACCTGACTGTCGGCCTTCATGATATATGTATTAACACCGACCATGGTCGAAATGTTCTTCAGCTGTGGACAGCTACAACCCTCTTAGTAATCGACCTTTACTCGACTCGAATCTGAGGGAGGCTGCTCACCAAGTTCGCAAGGCTAACCAGAGTTTGTCGTCTGGGGCGTCCCTACCCGCCCAGTCAAAGGATTGTAAAGAGGAGAACCTTCCAGTTAACGCAAGGTCATGAAGCTGCAGAGCGAACTTTGTCTCGTCCAGAACATCAGATTTGCAACCTGTCTCGGCTGCGATCCACGAAGGATGCACGGCGAAGTTGCTAATAAACGGGATGTTTGGATTCGACATGAGAATCCTCACTATTGATCGACAATGATCTGGTGATCTCATAGTAATCGACTCATAGAGTGGTCGCAGCATAACATGATACATGTATTTTGACTATCAGACGCAGTGAGTATTAATCTGAGATGTAGGCGGCCGTGGATGAGCTCACGGTTTGAGAGAGATATAGGACATCCGATGTTGATAGATGTTCAACTATCGCCAGCAAGATGTCATCAGGGAGACCTCTATCCAGAAAGAGTTTTCTGTTTCGTCGGAGATGTATATCCTGCCTAGAGAGGCTGCTTTCTTGAGTTCTGGAAGTCGGTAAGCCTGCGTCTGAGCCAGTGGCTTTTATGCGACCGGATGAAAATGTCCTCATGGACTGTTGCTATTCAAGACACCGACGCCTTCCGGTGTTCTGTGTAATGCGTTGGCACTGAGAACTGGAGAGTTGACAGAAGTAGCGCTATTAGTATATAGGCGATTTGGAACCTGGAATTCTGGATGTTCGTGGTCAATTCGCGGTGGTCAGCAGTGGCAACGACGAGCCTGCTTACGTAATGACACACGATGCTGGTCGATGATGACTACTCTGACCCACGCTCCAGCTTTGAAATTTGAGCTTGTACTGGCTCCAAATTCACTCCCATGCACGTACAGTAGGCAGCTGCTGAACTAGATGGTCGTGGCCATAAAATCGTCATGTTTTGTCTATCAAAAAGAAACAAAATCTCGCCCATGATCGATGAGTAAACTGACAGATCCATTCCTAGCGCCTGGTATCTCTGTGAACAGGCGCTCTATCCGTTAGTACCCTCAGTAGGCGGACGGTGAATGAGTAGAAGTGCAAACAATCGGACTATGGTGGGTCTTTTCTATTCTGGACGTGGCTCAATGTTTAGTACCACCGTGCGAGGTCCTTTTTGTCAGGCATTGGTAGTGTAGCGGTTATCATTGGGTCTTCCCACTGGGAATTTGGCCTAGACCCGGGTTCGACTCCCGGCCAATGCAGACGTAATCGCGTATCTCCTTTTTTGTTGCATTCGATTTTTGTGGGCAAGACTGGCCTACTTAGAGGCACCTGGATTCGACTTGTAAGTTTTAAGTTCTAACTTCTCGCCGACGCAACCTTTCAAGCTCAAGGCTTCAACGCTTTGCTAAACCTTGCTGCGGAACACCACCTATATCTACTTCTATAACATAAGTCTTCTACATCATGCACACTGATTCTCGTGATGAAGACAAGCGCTAGGCGCAAATTAGGCCACCCCACGCAGCTTCTTCGCTTGAGCGACCATGCTCTTCGTCTCCGCCGATCTCGGCGTCACAACACACGGGAAAGGCATAGGACGACTGGAGTCTCACAATTAGCACTTGTTTACCACGGGGAAGCCGAAGGGAAAGACTCGCTGAGCCACACCCAGACCTCCATTCGTCAGGGTATCAGCAACAAACGGTTTCTTGTCCTCGCCTTTCCCCATCGAGAACTTGCATGCCCGCAGCATAGACGCCATCTGGATGAGCAGGCTCCTGTCGGATACAGCGCGCCCGACACAGATCCTAAATAAACGTGGATATACTGGAACCTCGAGCCGAAGCCGTACGTGACGTGGCCCTCCTCCATGGTACTATCGGGAACAGATGGCAGCAGCTGTCCCCGCGCATCGAGATGACGCTCAGGGCGACACTCCTCAGCATCAGGCCCATGGACGTCGGTGTCGTGGTCCAAGGCCCAAGTGTTCGGGATGCAGATAGTGTCCTTAGGGATGGAATAACCCTCGTACACGTCGTCCTCGCGCGGCCTATGGGGGACGCCTGTGGGAGTGAGGGGCCGCCAACGCGTGGTCTCTCTGACACAGGCTTGGATGTTGGGCAGCTGCTCGTAGTCCTGAAGCGTCGGAAGCCTATCGAGGCCGACCACACAGGGCGTCACAGAACGAAGACTGTACATGATTCCATCGAACTCAGCGGCACTCCACATGAATAAACAAGACTTTATTCCCGATGAGATGGATTCAACCGCATCAGGGAAGCGATGAAGGGCTCCACTACGACGGACACGGAACACGTAACGTGTGAGGCCCCGTACAATGTATTTGCGAAATGACGACTGAGGCTCACGCCGCTATTCCAGGGTGCACCAGAATAGGTTGGATCTAGGCGAGGAACAGGCATTATTTGAAGCGGATTGGGATTGACGCCGGGCACCAAGTAGAGAAGTTGAAGAGGCTGCGCCTGTAACCGAACCTCGAGGGAGGTTGGGAAGATGTATATTGGTAGAGATAGCCTACGCGACACATGTGGTTGGAGTATAAAGACATCATGTAGGGACAAAAGAAATTAAACCTGGAGGAAGGACAGTCAGCATCGGGCATGTGAAAGGAAACGAGACAGAGGTTCAGAGACTTGAATGGTTCCCGAAGGAATCAAACCCATCGTGCAAGCACGTCGCAGTAAAATTTTGCAGATATGTTTACATCATGGAAGAGCGAATGGAAAATAACTCACCAGATATATGACGGGGACCGCGGTCAGACGGAGAGCTGGTTTGAAAGAGAGTCATGAGTATATGTTTGGATAGAAAGGAAGCATAGAAAGATTGGAAATAGGAAAAAGCAAAAGTCAGTGCAGAAATATGTATTCTTCTCATAGCCTTGTGAGCTTCGAAGTGAGCTGAGTTGTACAAAATGTTCTCATCGTGCAGAAAAAAAGGTTTAAAAGGTCAAGCGAAGAGATAGCCACTCACGAAGTCCAGGACGTCGCTTATAATCACTTCCCAGCGACCACGAGCACGAGAAAAAAGGCGGGGTCAACGGGGTCAACGGCGAGCTCATGGTCGAGGACGAGTTGGACAGCTATATACTGATCACGGGACCTGCCCTAAACTCAGCCACCGATTTGTCAGCTATACAGGACCTCCGTCCCAGATTCCCACCATCCAGACCACTACCCGAATATCATAACCAAGGTGAGCTCGCCGTTCCACTACCCCGCCCCCCCGCTCACGACCAGCAGTCAAGATGCAAATCTTCGTCAAGACCCTCACGGGGAAGACGATCACCCTCGAGGTGGAGTCGTCTGACACCATCGACAACGTCAAAGCCAAAATCCAGGACAAGGAAGGGTGTGTAATCATTCGGCAGACACGGTGGGGTGGCGGAGACTAACAGATCGCATGTAGTATTCCCCCTGACCAGCAACGCCTGATCTTCGCCGGCAAGCAGCTCGAGGATGGACGCACTCTCAGCGACTACAACATCCAGAAGGAGTCGACGCTTCACTTGGTTCTCCGGTGCGTTTACTTATTTTCGGATGCATCTTTCTAAGCTAATCCGTTCTATAAAGTCTGCGTGGCGGAATCATCGAGCCCTCGTTGAAGGTGTTGGCCTCGAAATACAACTGCGACAAGCAAATTTGCCGAAAATGCTACGCCCGCCTCCCTCCTCGTGCGACAAACTGCAGGAAGAGGTCATGCGGCCACTCCTCGCAACTCCGCCCGTAAGCATTTTACACAGATTTGACAGCACGTTTCTTGACCAATTATTCTTTTTTGGGGGTTAACAGTAAGAAGAAGCTGAAGTAGTCCGTACGTCACGACGGCTGCTGCTCTGGGCGTTTTTGGCGAGAGTTACAGACGGGGTACGTCGGGGAATCACCTACTCTACGCATCCATGTACTCCTTCGACACCTCTTCATTTATGCATCATACATAAAGCATACGATCTCACCAACGGGGTTTTTTGAGCTGAGTCGCCTGGATGTGCCGCTCCTGATCAGCCTGCTGAGATTCCGACCGACACGTTGCTTCATATTGTGGAGAAGGCAGCCTGTGGCCCATGAAGGTCTGCTGAGATTCCGACAGCCTGCTTTATATCGTTGTGAAGACAGCTGGCAAGGCGCAGTATTTTCCAGCTTTGGTCATTGAAACTGTGTCGGTGAATTGTGTATTCTCCCGCACAACATTTCCGACGCTACGTGGGTATGGCAGGCTGCAGGTGTACACAGTACCGTAAGGAATATGGACTAATGGTGGCCTTGCCGAAGCTAAGTATCACGGCGCCTACCTTGACAGGCTGTGTCAGCGCTGTGTACACGGTCCTTGTCCCTGTCACCGCAATGTTCACCCACCTTCCCTGCAGGTCTTCTTCATGGCCTTTGCGCATGCCCAGAATACGGTCGTCTATGATTCCACGTTTACGCACGTAGGCGGGGATTCCAACACGTACAATTTTAGCGGCTCTGAACCAGGCAAGCTTCAATGCCGTCTTAATGTCGTTTCCACTAACAGGCTCATGGAGCATATAGGTATCGTAGAGTTACTCAAAGTGATCTCTCCTGGTGCTGCATATAATTCGCAGGAGCGCGAACCCCCAGCAAGATGTCATCCCGGGACTCGGAAGGACGTGCTGGAAAAAATGATGGGCTGGGTTGGTGAAGCTAAGCGAGACTGGAGAAATGGAGTACTTTGGCTGCATGGCCCTGTCGGTGCTGGCAAGTCAGCCATTGCTCAAACTATTTGCGAACGCTGTGCCGAGCAGAGACACCTCGCAGCGAGTTTTTTCTTCTCCCAAGGCCGGGCTGGTCGCGACACGAATGCCCGTTTCATCACGACGATCGCCTTCCACCTCGCCAGGTCTATCCCAGGTCTTTGGATCAAAGTCAAAAGCGTTATTGAGAGCGATCCGATGGTCATCCATAGCTCGACGGATACACAGACACAGAAGTTGATCATCGAGACGTTTCGGTCAATTGAAACACCAAGCTCACCGTCAGTTGTGGTCATCGACGGCTTGGACGAATGTGACGGGAATGACGCGCAAATACGCATCCTCGTGCAGATCCTCGAGATCGTCAGGAAAAGTTTCGTCCCCCTTCGTTTCATCATTCTGAGCCGACCAGAGCCACATATCGAGCACTCGTTCAGAAGCACCAGCCTTCGGGATTTCACGTCATCGATCTCCCTTTATGGGGAGCACAAGTCCCTTGAGGACGTCCGTACCTACCTTGTGACCGAATTCGAGAGGATATACTCCTCTGAGCGGCATTCGGCGATATTCGAGACCGTCCCCCTCCCTTTCCCCTCTAAAAATGAACTCGATTTGCTAGTTAAACGCTCGGATGGTTATTTCATCTACGCTTCTACCATTATCCGATATGTGGATGAAGAGTACTATTCGCCCATCGAGCGGCTGGACACTGTACTTAATGCGTCATCCTCAAGTTTGGAATCGGGTCCATTCGATGAGCTGGATATCCTGTACCGAAAAGTCCTATCAAGCTCATGCCGCAACCTGGATCTTCTCAAGAGAATCCTTGGGTATATTTTGGCGGGCCCAAAACCACTCAATACAGGCGGAGCTATCACGGAGATTCTGCGCCTCAAGCCTGGCCAGCTCTCACTGACCTTACGAGGCTTGCATTCCATCCTTTGTTACGAATCCCCCCTCGACGAAATATTCCCATTCCACACTTCTTTCAGCGACTTTATCTTCGACCCTCGCCGCGCAGGGATATTCCACGTTGATCCACAAACCAACTACAACTTGATTTTCCGTGACTGCTGGGATTGCCTGGAAACATGGAGTAGATCACGCACAACGCATGGACTTGGCAGCGCCATCATCGTTTATCTCCGGGCTTGTTTGTGCCAAAGAGGAACGTACCAAGTGCAAGATGATATCGTTCAAGAAATAACCTCCACGGACATATATTTCTGGAAGCCTCATGTTGGCGCAGCGGAGGATAAGCCGGTATCAAAGGACACGAGAATAATGACGTGGTTGACCGAAACAGTCAAGTTTTTGGAAGTACGTCACCAGAACTTAATGGACGACCATTGACATCGACTATATTAGGACCTTGACACCCCTCACGTAGACCTTATCGGACACTTTTCCGCGTTACACGAGATTGGCCTAAGATCTAACCTTGCGTGGAATTCCGCCTTCGAGAACGGCGTCGAAGAGAACAAGAGAATAACTAACGAGTTTAAGATCAGAACGAGTTTCTTC